TTTCATTTTCATCTCCGAGAATATTGCCTCAACTTTTAGATATGAAACATTCGCGTAGATTTATGAAATGTTAAGTAAAGATCTTATCTTTACGGAGAAATCTCGCGCGATGAATAATTTTCAAATGTCCTTTACATTACAAGCTGCTCTTGCAGCAGCCTTCTTCTGTGGCATCAATAATCATAGTGGTCGATACCAAACGCCTAGTAAATTTAGTCATCTCCATATCCGTGTGCAAGGGCGGATCTGCAGCAGTGCGACCCGCTGCAGTTGTGAGCCGCGGCGCAGCAGAGTGCACGATCTGCAGAGGACGTGCTGCCTGCTACGTCGTTCGGAAATTGATTTCCTCGGTAAACGCGAAAGATGACGTGTCGCACAAGTAGTAAGAAAAATACTGAATACCTAGGATCATATTTTACTAATAGTTTGCAGACAATTTCGGAGGAGAGTAAAAAAAAGAGAGAAAGAGAGGCTGAGAACAAGATGAAGAGGCCATCGCAACGCATTAGGGCGGTAATGCGGCGTTTCTGGCAAGGGTATCGACGCAATGCGTCTAGGCATCTCGAGCCGGGATCGGTCGAAAATTACGTGACGACGTGGACGACGTCGGTGACGTCCGAAGGAGGACAGACGCCCGCCGCCGTCGCGAGAGATGTCCTTTGCGGTTAACGATGCCCTGGCGAGCATCGCCGACATATCGACTAAATGTACGTAAGTGTATGGCCGTGTTGACCAATGACGTACGCCAAATGCTTTACGTTCGCTTATTAAGGACAAACACGCAGATGTGAGGAAGTGGACAATGGAATTGCTATCGCTGTCACCGCGACGCATCACACTATGCAAGTCTATGCAGTCGTAAACGCATCCATGACGAATGAATGCATATATGAAGGAATGCTTGCGTTTAATAGATTAGTGACACTTCGCTCGAGTCTTCATGCAAAATCATCGGTGTTTGTATGCGAATAAAAAAGTATTGATTCTTATGATGACAAATACGATATTAAATACGGCGAAGCTAATTTAATATAAAATAATCTAAATAAATAAATAAATAAATAAATATATATATATATAACTTTGCATTTTAAATTATATTCCGTTTACACAAAGTCTATATCGAATTAATGGAACATTTAAATTTTAGAGTTCTCGTATTTTTCATTCGTAAGTCTTTACTAAAAGAGAAGGTTTAAAATTCCTTGAAAAGCATATGCTTCGTATAGTTCTCACATTTTTTTAGACACACCACGCAAAGCGTTATTTAGGTGGTCAAATGGTTCTAATTTCGGTGTACGGTTAGCACGTGGCTTTATTGCAGCAGGGTGCCGGTTTTACGCATGTGAGAATCGACAAGATAACGCGACGCCCGTCAAGGAAGTTATATTTTTAGCAGATACGGCAACCGCAGCCGTAACTTTTATGTCCGGAAAAGTGAATAGTGATATACCGACGGCGAGTATACGAAATTGGAGGGTGAATTGGAGTGAAATTAAAAATTCAGAAGAAATATAACGATCGGAAGAGAAACTACTTCATGAGATAACCCTTCTTAAAGTTTGGTTCTGCCACAGAGCTAAGTTAGTAAAACAGTTTCTGGAATAAACGTGTAATGTCCAATTTCTTCTCAATCACCGTGAGTTAAGATTCGATTGATAATAAAATTGACCGAAAATATATCAGTTAACGTTAAAGAGAAATAGGATTTTCTCTAAGCACCGGATATTATTTTTGCATATTATTATATGCAAAAGTAACGAGAGATAAGAGGAAAGATTATTACATTGAGTGAAAATGATGTATCGAGATGGGGATAAAAATTTCCAAGGTAGTATCTTTAACGGATCTAAAGTAATTATAATGTACTGATGTATCGATGTGTCCCGGATATAATTACAACATGCCAATATGCAAGTGATTACTGTATATGAAAAAATGTCGCGAATAGATGTATAGTCATAAGTGTGGAATCGCGGAAGGAAATTGCATTATGCAAAATACGTCTAAGCTGCATGCGCACACGGCGTTTGCAAACTTTTCCCAGTCACGGATTCGCGCGTGTAACGCAAGGTTAGAGCGATTCGCTTTATGAGGGTGGATTACGAGAGGCGTTATCAGCCATGCGCAGATAGTTGCGCCACAGTAAATGCTGCGGTAGCATGCTACGGCGAATGTTACGACAACACGAGAACGTTGCTAATTACATGGCTGTTTATATAATAAATGAATATTCTAATAAATATATATGTTGTGATATTATCTCCGGTTACGTGTCGCATCCTCCGTAACATATTATGTTAGTTTGCCGCAAGTTTAGTAAATTATATAGACAGCGGACTTGCCTCCAAAATGTATATACATAAGTTGAGACGTTGATCAGAGCGTGAAGCACGTTGTACTCACACAATTGCGAATAAATAGGAGAAGAGAACCTAAGCTCCTGAACAATTTGAGATATATATAAATATATATATATATATATATATATAATTATATATTAATTTAATTATATAATAGGAAATCGTTACACAGACAGTTATTACGCCTTTGACCATTTTTATTAAACGATATCCCATAATAATTAGCGCTTTGGAGCGCTAACAGTCAGTAATTAAATTATCATAGATATATGGAAGGATGTAATTAAATCTTCCCTTCCAACATAATCGCTATACTCTATTGTGGAGCCAAGGTAAGCGCGTAGCATAAATTAATTACGTTCATACCTTATCAAGTGCGATTTTGTGCAAATTGCAGGTCGTTACGTGCAACAAGAGTTCACGTTTAGTAGCGATGTTGATATGCAAATGAGAGTTATGCATACTGTTCTTCGATTTAAAATTCTCAGGATTTTCAGCGCGCTGAATGATAAGAAAAATACGAGGATCTTTCGTTACGTCAGTTTGATATGCAAATGAGAGTTACATATACTGTTCTTCGATTTAAAATTCTCAGGATTTTCAGCGCGCTGAATGATAAGAAAAATACGAGGATCTTTCGTTACGTCAGTTTGATATGCAAATGAGAGTTACATATACTGTTCTTCGATTTAAAATTCTCAGGATTTTCAGCGCGCTGAATGATAAGAAAAATACCAGGATTTTCCATTACATCATTTTGTACAGGATTTCGCGCGAGAAAAACGAGATATTAGAATATATAATACAAACGCTGTTTGATACGCTTATTGCGGAAACCGACGCACTTTATGCATGTTATACATGCATTGTATAGCGATGCTATAAACGAAGCGGATGTTTTCTCGTATCGGATACGGTATTGCAGTGAATAGCGTTATGTTAGAGAATGCTCTCGATACAAGCGAACGTCATGACATTCAAGAAATCGCTCACGTGTAATATCTTACTGATATGTGTATACAATGAGACTGCTATACGACACACACACACACACACACACATCTCAGAATCAGTAAAAATATAAAGACAACATTGTCACTCATAAAATATAAAGTTGGTGTCTTTTTCATTATTCCTCAAATTTAAATTTTTTAAATTGTACATCATTTTGATTATACATCAAAGTTTGGAGTTTTATACACTTTTGGAACTAAGCAGTCAATATGTATTATTTTAATTTTGAAAATATTATCTCTTTAGTGATAATTTAAAATGACTGCACGGTTTCCCTCAGGGCAATCTTTTTTTTAATAGACATCTATTAAATAGACATCTAAAATTTCTGTATTCTTTATTGCTATTTTCTTTAAAAAATTTTGAAAAGTAGAATATGTCTAATTATGTCTACAAAATATGTCTAATTTGTATTTTCTATGAGTTAAAAAAATATAATAGTTTGAGTAAATCAAAAGGAATTTAATATTTAATATTTTATTGTTCATTTAATATTTTATTGTTTTATATTAACTTGTTCAGATATAATGCTTAAGGCCACTTTTACCAAGTAAAACTAACCATTTTAGTAACCTTGCAGGATTCTAATTAAAATTGCTGTTAAAGAAAAAATGAAGAGTGAGTAATAATTGTGTTATAAATGTGGACTAGTAATACTGCAGTGAAACATAGAAGTACACGTCCTAACCATATTTTCTATCATATTAAGACATTAGGATGTATACTTTCATGTTTAGCTGCAGCGTTATCAATTCATATTCATAACTCTTAATTTTCCATTTCTTCTCCAACAGCAGGTTTTCAATAGCAGTTTCAGTCGAAAATCTGCAAAGTTATTAAAACAGTTAGTCTAATTGGAGCTTGATAAAAATGGCCCATAAAAGATTAATTACACAGATTAAGTACCTCTGCGACTTAGCACATTTCTGTATCATATCAATAATATCATATAATATATATATTTGCATATCATATAATATATATAAATGTCAACAATTATATTTTCGCGATATTTACGCCTGAGGTTTATTCTTTCCTGCTGAACTTCTTGCACTAGTTCAAGAAGTGTACACTAGTGCATTCTTTCTAGCAGAAGTGACGTCAGAGGTTACTGTTCTTTCCAACAGTGCAGCAGAACTTAGTGCAACAGTTCACTGAACTGCTTGCACTGAGTCTGGAGCTAGTGCAAGCAGTGCAGTGCAAGGATAAAAGTTATTGTGCAAGTTACCAGTGCAAATAGTTCAGATGGAAAGAACAGATCTATGAAGATGGAAGAGATGAATATTGCAGAAATTAAAAGGAATGAAAGTGGCAATATCCCAGATAGGTTCTGCGGACAATTGAGATACATACATTAATGCAAGTACAGTAAATTCTTCATCTGAAGAATTATTTACATCTAAAATTATGTGTTGCGCCATGTTATTTCCTGCACTATGGCGTTCTTTTCCTTCCTACTTGACATGTCTGAACCTATGAACTTTTGCTGTACTCATCAGTTCCAGTTCCGAACCAGTGCAGTTCTAGTGCAGCACTAGTTCAGTTGAAAAGAACAAACCTCTGATTTGTGTAAATGAGTCGGACACATGTTTCTATGATGATAGAATGAAGAGTGTTACTCACATTTTGATGTTTACTTATTGACGATCTCTTGTTGATGTTTCGTTGACGATGGATCACTTCAGCGCTCTGTTGATCTCCACTAATGTGACGAAGAATACAAAACACTCGCAAGTGTTAACATAACATAACCTCACAATTCCGAGAATCTTCACATTCGTTACCAGTGCGTTCTAGTTTGTTAATCTCACGTCGAGTTAAGAGCGAAAGTTGGACATACCAACACGCGTAACTGTTCAGATTGCGGGTCGATCGAAATTGCAAATATATTTATAATAATGGAATTTCGTAGATCACGCACAATCATAAGTTGTAACGAACACGAGGAATGAGACGTGGATATCAGCTGATCGTATTCGACGCATTACTACCATCTGTCGCTTACGAGACGAACTAAAGCCAGCGGCACACGAGCGGATGCTTGTTCGTGCTGGATTGCTCGCTGGAGGGAAATATTCTATTCTGATTGGTCCGTCTTCAGAAATGCACCAATCAGAGTATTTCCATCCAGCAAGCAATCCAGCATGAAAATAAGCATGACTAGGGCTGCGTTCCGAAATTCACTGCCAGTACTAAAAATCTATGGCCTCGTTCAGTAGAACAAGTGATCAGTAAGCGCTCAGGGAGCTCTTGTATATGATTTGGCATATTCTTTTAGATCTCCAACTATACTCCAATCAGATGCAAGAGCTCACTGAGCGCTTACTGATCACTTGTTCTACTGAACGCGGCCTATAGTTCATGTCACGTATACTATAGAATTTCAGCATTGGCAGTGAATTTCGGAACGCAGCTTAGCTCTTACTAGAGTCCCTATAATAAGAGTCTGGCCAGCAGAGGAATTGTGGCTAAATTCTTCGAGAGAGAAAGATATAAATTTCCTATCTCTCTGTGCAATCTATCTTTTTCTGACGCGCTCGCACATGCGCTTCAGTCTAGCTGCTCGAGGTTAAGCTTATAAAATAAAAGCGAAGAAAAGGTTAAAGTTGGAAAATAAAAAACAAGAATTGCAGTAATAAGTGCAGTAAATTATTGTAAAAATGGATGGATGTTCAGCACCGTTTTGTAACACGCGCGCGCGTGTGTGGTGTGTAATATATAAATATAAATATAAATATATATAAATATAAATATAAATATATATAAATATATATATAAATATATATATAAATATATATAAATATTATATATATATTTTTTTTTTAACGTACAAAATGCGTTATATGTATTCGCTCTCTTTACATACAATATACATGTATATACATGCAAATATACGCGCGCAAAACAAATCTTGATTTCAATATCTTTCAACATTGATATTAGACATGTCCGGTAACGAACACAAGTTCAATCCTTCCTCATTCGCCAAATGCAACAGTGATATGAAGGCGAGCGGCACGCTCAACGCCTCGGCGTTGTTCTTCGTCAGTAGCTTCGGCAACTTCTTGTAAATGTTACTGAACATTTTAGAGTCTTTCATCGTATTCTCCTCCATCTCCATTTCCGCGATATTCGTGATATCCGCATCGCTCGTAAACTTCAAGCATCTCGAGATGGACTTCTTCAGCTGCTGCATGTCGACTCTCTTCGCCTTCGAGCAGTACGCGATAGGTATCTTATTGACCAATTTCGGCGCCGAAATAAGATTGTCGCCGGTGAGGCCTTGGCTGAAACTTGAGGCTAACGCGTTCCTGTCGTCTTCGAACTCAAAATTGCACTCATTCTCGTTATTGTTGTCCCTAGCCTCGTCGTCAGGACAGTAGTCCAACGTGTCGTTCGGGTTATTGTAATCGTACCGGTCGTTGTCAGACACATCCGCGGCTTCAGTTTTGTCTTCGTTTTGCTGCTGCTGCTTGATGCTCATATGTTGATTCAAGTATAGCTTTACCAACCGCATAATATCGTAGTGGATATCTTCGGGCAACGTCAGATTCTCAGCGCTCCACTCCGTCTTGGCTGTCTTCGCCTGCAACTTGTTGGACTGGTTCAGCGCGAACTTCGCCTCTATCACGTCCTTATTCCCTTCGTACGACAATTTGATCTCTTTCCTCCTCTTTAGCGGCGCCTGCATGCACGTCCCGATGACCTTGCTGCTTATGACAGCGTTTGCAGCCGGTCTCACGAATTTGTGGAACTTCCAATGAGTCGGTCCAGCCCAGTGCAAACTTGCATTCGGCAGCACAAACGAGTACTCGGGTGCGGCGATAAGCTTGAATCCATCCGCAGCTGAAGCGTCCACGATATTATCTATATGATTCGTTGTCGCTTGCCGTTGTTGGCGTTCGCATAAGTATTTGTCGTCCTGTGTCTCAATATCGAAATAGTTAACGAGCTCGGGTAACAGATTCTCGACCTCGTGTTCCACACTGGCATCGAGATCGAATTGGAAACGGTTGTCGGCCTCGTTGTCATCATTATGTTTCACCTCCAACATATCCGACATTTTTTCGGACTCGTCTTCAACAGACCAGCCAAGAAATTCAAAGTTCGAGTACGACGCGCAAATTTCCAGTTGTTCAAAATCGTCAATTGTCGGTATAGCGTATTTCATCGAATTTACATTGCTTTCTTTGTTCACGGTGTCGACGAGTATGTCGTTGTATAGATGCTGGTAAAAACCCGATGTAGCGTGATTAGGCAACATCGCTTGATACAGCATGTCGCTGGTCTGCAGATCGCCCTCGCCTATCATCGTGGACAAGGGTTTCACGATTTCGACATTGCCTCTCAACGCCTCTACGGTGCTGCAGATCTTTTGTCTGGTTTTCTTCTTCTTCTTCTTCGATATCTCTAGATCCACGTCCATATTTTCCTGTAGCGCTACCTCCTGCTTGTTCTGGTCCTGCTCAGCATCTTCAAGAGCTTGCTTATCCAAACCGCCGATTATCTTGAGTATCTCTGTATGCAGGTTGTCCACTCGAAACCCGTAAATCTTACTGCTTATGTCCAAAGATGTGCTGGCTACTTGCAGATTGGACATGTTGTTGTCCTGCTTCTTTATCACGTATATCATAAAATCTATCATCTCCAGACTGAACGCATTCTTTATGTTGATCTTGTTTTCAACACTCAGCCTTATACATTGGTTGATACTCTCCGTTATTTGGGATGTCGAGACATTGGCTAGAAATCCCAAACCCAAGGAGTGTCTTTTGTTAGATCCAGCTAGTGCTGAGGTATTAGGTTTGAAAATGTCACGTCGACGAGCAATACGTTCTGCCTCATCATCGTTTTCTGAGAGAACACTAGACAGTTGTGCGACAATAGATTTTCTTCGTAGTGATGACGAAGAGGCTGGATACTTATTCAGTGAAGTCTCCATCGTTTCATGTATATGCATGGATTTACGAGCTTCCATTTTATACAACTTAAAACTTTACAACATATACATATGCACAAACATATATGTAAATTGTATAATAATTTGTATGTCTATTCTCAGAGAATCCAACTGTTACATTCCTAAAAGAAATAAGTACATATTGTTTTGATCATTATGTCTAATCAAGCACAAACTTTATACAATCTACTTTTACAGTACAACCATTACAACTGTTACAAATACATTATATACTATGCAAATAAGCTTCTAAAAGATTTTTTGAAGCTAATCCTAAGCTAATCAATATAATTATTTCTATGTCATTACACATATAAGGACGCTACTAAATTTAAATTACTTAATATTACACCTAAAGCCATCAATTAAAAACTATAATTATAAATAAATCTGAACTCTGCTGTTGTTTTTGACCTCAGATTGATCTCAGACTGGAATTTTATCTAAATAATTTTGGTAATTATTAAGTTTAGCATCACCACCTCCGATTTTGACGAAACTAAGCTCAATCGACGCGTTTTTTAAAAAGAAACAACTTTTTCCTCTAACAAAATCGTCGCTCTCTACTACGAAGCGAGATATTAATAGACAAATTTGAGGGCGCGTTAGATTAGAAAATTTGTCATACCGTCTATCTCTAGCTATGTGACTGGGGGGTTTCGTTCCACAGACCCCCCGCATCACGGCTAGGTGGGAGCTACAACCTTTTGTGAGAAATTCACTCTTTAGCTTAAGCACAAGAGACTGTGGCCCCTACCTCGCTGTGATACGGGGGGTCTGGAGGGCGAAGCCCCCCAGTCACATAGCTAGAGATAGACGGTATGACAGATTTTCTAATCTAACGCGCCCTCAACTTTGTCTATTAATATTTCGCTTCGCAGTAGAGAGCGACGATTTTGTTAGAAGAAAAAGTTTAAAAAAAAAAAAACGCGTCGATTGAGTATGGTTTGGTCAAAATCGGAGGTGGTGATGCTAAACTTAATAATTACTATAATTTTTATTAATTTAGCACATAAAAACATCTCACCTCTTTTTTAAAAGCCTAAAGAAGATGGGTTGTTTATAAAATTAATAAAATTACTGTATTTTACTTCACAATAAACATATTTGTCTCAAAAGTGGCATGTTAGTCATTAATTGATTGAGCTTTAGATTTATTGTATATTCAATTAAATATTACATTGTACTCACCATTCAAAGCAGTGAAATTTGCTATTTTCTTCAAATCAGCTTTCATCAAACGAAGTAATGTATAATATCGTTGCAGCTCATCGTATGTTTCTTGCAGAATTTCCAAGTTTTGTTCGCTATCCTGGGCAGGAAACATCGGTATGAGAATATCAAGAATTTCTTGTTTGTTTATCTATTATGTCTATTATATATTATAGCATGTTCGATTGGGTTACCTACTCTGAATTATTCAGTACTTATAAGCTTTATGATTGGCTAGCAGAGACTTATGGCGTCATTAATCGTTCTCGGAGCGATTAATCCAAGGTCAGTCGCACACGCTATTAGTTTCATGAATAGCAAAAACACAACAGATCTCACTTTATTATACTACATAATGTATCACCGCAATTCCGCTGATGTACTTTTTTTCCTGTCCCATGAAGCGGTAAACGCAGCAGCAAAATTATGTTTTAGCTAATCGTAAAATAATTGCATATTTTCGTAAAAAATATTTTACTGAAAAACTAATCTTACTCTTTACTAATTTGTCATATATTATATCATTTGTATAAAATATTATTAAAATTATTAAAAACGTAAGAAATAACATTAAAAAGTCTACTTTTTGTATTATTCCGCGTGATCCGCTTTCGCGTATTCTGTCCCATGGGACACAAGAAAAATAGAAAAAGCGCCGAAAGAAAAGCGGAACGGCTGTGATTGGTTGTGCTAACTCCGCACGTTCCGCTGAGGATTTCCGTTTCGTGGGATGGCGCCCTAATGGCTCCTACACATAAGACGCGGTAATGCTTGCCGTGCGGCGGAAGTCCGCGCGACAGCCAATCAATATGTTGTTTTTCCGTAAGAGCTAGAAGGTTATTACGGAAAGCAGCATTAAAATTAATATTATATTTATATTAATAAATGTTAATATTTTGGTTATTATTTTTTTTAATTAACAATTATTATTTTGTAATTTTTTTCCAATTTTTCGATATTTGTAAATACATTATTTTTTAAATCAATCATAAACATAAATAGATATTTAAATCGAAATAGGTATTTATATCGAATTAAATAAGGTGTTCAAAATTTACAAATATTGAAAAATTGAAAAAAATTAAAAAATAAAAATTGTTAATTAAAAAAATAATAAAATTTGAAAATTAAAAAAAATAAGAAATGAAAATTAAAAAAATAAAAATTTTAAAAAATTTAAAAAGGGATACCACGCGGACTTAAATTACGTAAATTAAAGTTATGCCGTAGATTTCAAAATTATGTCTACGTGAATTATTTACGTATTTCTACATGATACACAATATACACACACACAATATATATATACTATATATATCTTTTCCCATGTAGCCAACATAAACTACGTAGAATATTGTAATTTAGACTAAAACACACAGAAAAAAGTAATTAAATTATGTGACAGCTTTAGTCGCCGAAAGCGGTTATCTCGCGAAATAGCTCGTCGAGAGTGTTGAGTGAAGCGCCGTGCGTCAGGAGCGTTTGGAAATCGAACTGCTGCATCCTAATCTACCGAAAGAAAGAGGTCGATACGTAATAATATATCGATAAAACAGGGCTGCTTAGCAGTGCACTGCGACTTTTATTTGTTGAATTGTACATATTATTCTGTGCTCGCGGATTCAAATCGCGAATATAAGGCGATTGATTTATGGGAAATATTGTTGCATTCGATAGATTTTAGGTAAAAATCTAGGATTATTTTAGATATGTCGATATTCGTACATATGTTAGATATATTGATAATCGTACGATTTTTCATTCATACTATATTTATAATGAAATCTTAAGCTTCTCGAATTGAAGTTAATTTCAGATGTTAACGAAATATTAAAGACTGATAGCCTCAAAAAAATTTGGGCGATTGCCGATATCTAAACGATTAACCTACAATAGGTCTGTTCGTGTTGCTTGCATTTTTCGTACTTTTCGCACTTAGAACAAGGCAGATGCATATTTGGACGCTGGAAGAAGCAAGAGTGAGGAGATCGCGTGCGAAAAATACGAGCAATACAAACAAACAATGTAACATAGCTAATGATCTTCCATAATATCACGAGAAATTGAGCTCGTCGAAGCTACATTGCCCTGTTATCTCCACTATATATTCATGATCACATGATCTCGTTGACGCTGCGGCAACACGCGTGTGACGAACTACTTCGTGTGTAATGGCATAGATAAAATCGTCGCAAATGCGTTGCGTTGCGACAACAGCAATGCGCCAAAACGTAAACTCTACCCCCCAAATTCGATCAATTGCGCAAATGCGACAACGCGCTCGAGTCGCAGATCAACCTAACGTAACCTCACATTGCTTGTCGTCACGATGCTGATACCTGTATCAGTAGACAATTTTCATGAGCTCGTGCCCATTGCTACACACAGTTTTTCTGTTAAATCAAAATATGAGTTGCGATGTGCCGCTATTGCATCGAGAAGAACTCGAAAAAAGTGCACGTAGGAGCGTTATTGTGACGGAGTTTTTGAATTAGCGTATTTATTAACCTTAAACCTTGCGTGCCGCGTACTACTATGACGTAAAGACTGCAGTCGGCGATAGCCGGGGGAGAATATCATGGATAAGCTGCGATTAGGGTCAGAGTATATTCCATTAGCGGACGACGGCATGTCGAGAGCTCGCGTTGTCATATCTTTCGCCAAAGTAGCATGGTTAACTGTGGCCTTGCCGTTTCTGGCGTTTACTTTCTGTGTTGCCTGGTCAATTCTCTATAATTTCGAGCATTCGACCTCCACGCATTGTCAGGTATATTTATCAATCATTTGTGTGTGTCAATAGTAATTTATAGTTACCAAGTCATGAATGTGTTATGGATGTGAATGACAGTGCATAATACTTTTTGTGAACAGTTCTTCGCATATGAGAGAGGCAGAGTCAGTTGGTCTGTTCTTTTTAGCTGCACTGCTGAACTAGTGCAATAAGTTATAATGAAACAAATATAATTTCTTTCACTCTAACTTATTGTACTAGTTCAGTAGTGCAGCTGAAAAGAACAGAGCGTGTAATTAATCATATCAACTAGGAGAGTGAGAAAACTTTGAAATAACAAGATCTTTGATGTACCAGTGCTCTTAGAAAGTAGTTCTTTGCTCTGATAAAATGTTTTCAGGTGTACAATTTCTTACCTTCTGTCTCGGCAGCCATTGGTCATTACAAGCCTCAGAGAAATATATGGAAAACTGCCATAGCGTTACAAGCAATTATCAGAATTTTAGTATGTAGACTGTATTATCGTTACTATAAGGAGAACATTTACAAGTGGGCACAATATTTAAGTAACATTGCCCTCATTATGTACATTGTTGAGAATGTATCTCTTGTTACATTGAGCTTTTGGAGTTCCGATGAGAATTATGGTATGCAAAATGCTTTATAAATATTCACATATGTTATGCGTGAGAATATAACATGCATTTGGTGATGCAAATGTATGATGATACATTAATGTATGATGTTACGTTATTTACAGCATTCCATAAGATGTCTTTTATAACATTTTTGATAACGTCCTTTATACACATGTTGCTAGTGTATTATATTATGAGGAATTGTCGAAACATCACAAAAGACTGGTTTGATGCTACTTCCATGAAATGGAAACAGAGATCAATGATGTTAAACGTGTTATGTATAATAATAGCATCCTACTTCTTTTATAGGCATAACAAGTATTGCGAGCCTTTTGGTAAGATGATATTAATTGATATTATCATTATTATAATGTCGTTCTCATTATCTTAGAACGATTGTGTATAATTTCAGTGTATTCAATGTTTGCATTAAGTGAATATGGAGTTGTGCTTTCAAATATGGGATTCCACCTGACTGCAGCGTTTGATTTTGCCACAACGCGTCTGATGATATCAGGAAGTGGACTGCGAATCGTTTAATAGTATTTTATATACATCACAGGTTGAATGTTATATATACTTAAGCAATATTGTACATACTATTTTTATCTTGATACGTCTGACTTCCAAATTAGAAGGAAGATTAGGCTATACTCAACAGTGTCAATCATAGCTCTTAGAAAGCCTTATAGATAGTAGTATCAAATCTTCCTTGCAGAAGCAAATTTCTTAGAATAATTTAGATGTTGCATTTATATATGCATATGCATAAATGCATTTTATTTCATGGAAGACCAAATTACTTAGCAATACTATACGAGAGATATTATTTGATTCAGAAAATATACATCTAGCTTCTTTAGAAACCCTTCGATAAAAGTGCCTGTTGTTCCTCTCACGTTTCTTGTTTGATTACGTAATCACGCATGATGTACTGACGTCAACTGTATTGTCATATTAGAACTTAAAATCAGCATCGAGTTTATCGGCGATAAATTTTGCTATCGCCATAGAGCTAGTCGCAGCGGGTGATGGTGCGTTTCGGCAATGTAGCACTCTGCTTCCGATAGTACCGGTGCCGGAGTCGAAAACGAAATCGTCGATTAGATTGCCGTCGTTATCCAACGCCTGTGCTCTCACACCGGTTGGTCCTCTGTTACAAAATTGAATTATGGGAAGTTCGTGAGAGTTTTGCGAGAGCGGACACTACCGCATGGAGAATACTGACCTCTTGACATCTTTATATGTTACTTCCGGGATAAACTTTTGCAGGTCCTTTACTGCCAGCGGGTAGAAAATCGATTTTATCACCTCCATGCAACCTGGTACAAAATATCGGAAGCACAGCTTGTACAGGCCAGGGAATTTCGCCATTTCTATACAGTCTTTTATATTTATGTCGAACCAGCTGAGAGAGAAGTAATTGTGCACAATTTTAACGTCGTAATCTTATGCATTATATACATGTAGTCTACTACTAGTTATTTTTCTTAATGCATAATAGCATTTAGATGTATATTTTGCAATTTTGCCTGCAGGAGTTATTCAATAATATTATACAATCAGTAAAACGATAAAAAAATTTTAATAACCTGTAGCCTTCTCTAGCGAGCGCCAAGACAGCGTTGGGACCTAGCCAGACATCGCCGCTCATTCTAGGTGTAAAGTGTACTCCTAAGAATGGAAATCTGGGATCGGGTACCGGGTACAAGTTGGTCGTGCTGAGATGCCGCTTGCTCTCGCTCAGTAGAAGATACTCTCCACGAAAAGGGATTATACGTGGACTTAAATCGCAGCCCGTCATCACCGCCAACCGATCCGAATGTAAACCGGCGCACGTCAGCACATTCTTCGCTGGTATGCTCTTCAACAGTAAAACAGTCGCTTTAGATGTTGAGGTGACGTTGACAGTGCAACAAGGTGCGCGACTAGATTACGGGAAATTCTTACTCGATTCTTCGACTGTACGGATATGGGACATAGATCAGATTGCCCTTTTGATTCAGTCATCTCCGTGAATCCTGTCACTTCGAAGTTTAGAAAAATCTCACCTCCCATTTTCTGGAAATCGTTTGCGAAGTGTTGACACACCACTGCCCAATCTACTATGCCAGTCCACGGCGACCATAAGGCTTTTTCTCCCTGTGAATAGATACAATATCATCAATTATTTACACGTGGGATTCTAGAATTATCTCATTTTTATACACAGATATATACATTTGTTTAGCAAAGACAGAACATTAAATGATTACGAGGATGATGACATCTCGACTTGGATTTGTACGAGAACTGACTTCAAACTTGACTATAAATTCATAGCTAAACGAAAACGTGTAATTCTGAGATACATATCTTGTGTATTGAAAACGCGATTTTTACGTTCAAACACATATTCTGTCTGATCTTTTATTTCAATTTCGTGTATTCTTTTATTTCTTATTTTTTTATGTCAATCACATATTCTGTTTACTTGCATTATACCTGACATTTAGGTTCATATTTCGATATGCAGTCTTTTTCAACAATCTCAAGGTCCGGAACGTTGTTCTTCATACCTCGATCAAAGAGGTCGTCTATTCTCTTGACTTGGTCCTGGTTCTGGGCGACAATCAGTTTGCCGATTTTCTTGTGTGGTATGTTGTTCTTGCAAAAGTATTCGTACGAGAGCTTCAGACCTTCTACACAAAGTTTCGCCTATAAGTAATCGCTTGTTATTCATCATTATTACGTTGTTTAAAGAAAAATAAATATTGATAATTTTTTTTTTACATAGAAGTATTAACTTTTATTGTTGTTTTTTTTGCATTTGTTTAATTTTATTTCTCAGCTGCTCCCGAATTTATTTAATTTGCATCGTGCATTAACACTTAAAGTATACGAGAAGGCGAAGAGAGACAGCCAAGCCGTATCATAACGTGATGATAAAGAGCGGCATTAATTTACCGCTTGTTAGTCCCTACCTTTTATCTTATCACAGCGAAGATTCAGAGGTATCGACTTTCTCAAAGCAGCTGCAGCTGCGAGAAGTCACGGTTTATTTTGCTTTACCTTCATGCTTCCAGGCGTATAATAAATGCCGGCGTGCACTACACCGCTGTTGTGTCCCGTTTGATGTCTGGCCAGGGCGTTCTCTTTTTCGACAATTGCAATTTTCAGGTTCGGATGTCTCATAATCATCTCACGGCCTGTGGCGCATCCGACGATGCCGCCGCCGACGATCACCAGATCGTACACGGTACATTGACTCACGCTGAAAATTCAGTTCGTTTGAGTTATTCATATAGCTGTCTCTTTTTATTCTTTTTCTCTCTTATTTAAAGAGAGAAAATAATTTTGTGAATTATATTTTAGACAATGCGTGGAATTAGAATGATTTGTTTTAAAGCCGATATATTTTTCAATATAGATTCTTCGGAGATTAATATTTACGCAGATTAATAATAGATGAATAAGGATTAAAAACTTATAAATTATCGTTAATCCATGTTGAAAATGAGAAATTCGCATTGATTAAGTTAAAGATGGAGTTAATTAATTGACACGTTTTGATATAGAGTATTTTTAATAAGAGCGAGAAATTTAAAACAACTAGGGAGAAAGAGAGAAACTGTGAAACATATGTTATATAATATAATATTAACTTAATTTTGTACTATAAGTATATATTATATATTACATAATACATACACACATTACATCATTAAATTATTAATAAAAATTAATAAAATATAAAAATATACAAGTTTTCTCTGTAATGAGAAAATTTACACTGAGGTGTAATCTCTACGTCAGTCCGCCGTTCCGTTAAGTAGTAAGTTACCTAACTTCGTTAAGTACGTGACATGTTTATTAATTCTCGGCTCTAGTTTATTATCAAACATTGACTGGAGGTTTGAGTAAGAAGTTAGTAGTTGCGCGTTGGATTAAACGGTGTTATTATTAAATGCCATCATCGAAGGGAATTTCGGTAGACGAGAATACTTGGGAGTTCTAATACTTGACATATCTTTGAATCCCGTTACAAAAATCGTTAAATGTGCTAACCTCGAGAGATATCTGTGATGACACAAATAATGCAGCTGCGGTAGAATTCTTGTGGTTAAAGGTGCCATCATATTTGTGCCCATATTAGACGCTTACGATAGATTTGAATTGATGTCCTACAAGAACATTACAATCGATCATGCGATTATATTGTGTTGGATAATTGCACATAGCTAAAATACACGGCCACATTTGTGTTATTTTAATTTTAACAACTGACAGTTAGTTTCCTTTTTTCCTCTTCCTGTCGATAATTCGCCGACAATGCAGTAAGCTTTTCGATAAATCAAAGTTTAGCGTACACATCAGATCCGCGAAAGTTATAAAAAGTAAGGAACGAATGCGCCTGTATTACATATATATATACACACAGATAGCACAGATAATTGAAAAAGAATTTAAAAAAAATTCAGTCGTATGTCACCAATTCTGAGTTCATTTTCAGATGCAAAAAAAATTGTTCAGTTCAGTGAAAAGAATTTTTTTTGTATCTAAAAATGAACTCAGAATTGGTGACATACGACTGAATTCTTTTTGAATTATCTATGTTATCTGGTTATATACGTATATGTGTGTGTGTGTGTGTGTACACATTGTGTACAATAATTATACATGCCTTCCCTTTTCGTTTATCTAAGCACTTTATTCACGTGCACGTCGACCACGTGTAAAGATTGGTTACATAACAATATATAATAATACAATATTGTAGATATAATGATCACTGCACCAACAGATTGTACTTACAATACGACATGTGTAATTTTTACGGCATAATTGAGATTAGCAACATCATATACATATATGTCAAAAGAAAGAAAGTAGATAATCGCGTCTAGGCTAACGACAGAACGACAGAACACAGGGCAGAAGGTTGGAACGCACCGAAACGATATCGTAGAGCACTGTACTTCGAATTAGTTTAGAACACAGTATGAAATTATCTTGAAGGCCGTTATCACGGCACCAAGATGTTATCTGAACATGACAGCACAGGCGAAACGAAATCGAAGTACTTCGCAATGCTCTCTCTCGTCGCCGTCGCGAGGAGCTGTGAGCGAATATAATTTTATAAGCGATGAACCACTGGCTCAGGAACGGCATTAGGCTGAAACTCTGGGGGAGCATTCGATCATTTTTCTTCCCTACCGCACACATATTACGACTTTATTGGTTTTATTGAATCTTTTATTCAAATTGCTTAAACAAGTATAATTGTTGAATATTTTCTATTTTTATCCAATTTTTACTTGATAATAATTTATATAAATTATAGAGTAGTATAAAATAATTAGGTATAAATTATACAGTAAAAATTGTTGGAATAAATATATACACATGTATTTTTTGTGCCATATATAATACGAATGAGACTAAAACTATATTCAAACTATCAGTATGTACAAAAAAAAAACATTTTGAATGTATAACATACGTATATATATATGAATTAATTTAAATTCTTCCTTATTCTCTTTCATATTTTGTTCAAGAAAATACATATTTAAAATATGTGTGCATACTAACGTGTCGAAGAGATCGTCCCTGAGCTTTTGCGCGCTATATTGATTATTGTAACCGATAAAGTCGCTTACGCTGGCAAGTGGCGCCTCTCGCGGTGCGATGCGATGCAACTCGACGTCTCACCGACGCACATATCGATTATCGAAAATTTCAAATGGCTGTGTTCTGATCGTTCGCGCTACGATAGAACCGGATTTATTTGCATAAATAATACGCGTTTATTTGTTTACTCGTGTCCTTCACGTATATGCTCGCCGTAATCCATGCATACGTGACTAACGATGGGTGTCTAATTTGCAGCTAGAGCATATTTGCATAAGTTGCCCGCACAAAGGCATACGTGCATATTTCTCGCATCGCATAAAGTACAGAAAGCGTGAAGAAACGTAGATAAAAATACCTTCGCTATCGCAATAATTGTATATAACTAGTAATAATAGGTGTTTATTTTTTATAAAATAATGATCTGATATCAACATGTTTGCAATAAACAAAATATTTGCCGATTCTCGAAATATAATTTTAATCGCGTGCTAGTAACGTAGATTTTCCACTCGATCTAATGTTAGGTGGAGCTATTTTATATATCGTGTCGGTAAAACCAATATTAACCGCCGTCTATCAAACGGGCAACACAATTAAATGGTTATATTTACCGTGAAATAGAGTAATTAATAATAACGAAAGTAAAATGCAGTGACACGCATATTATTAATTTACATTTAACGCCGGAAACGTCATTACTTCGTGTTACATTAATATAATTTGGATTTAAAATTAGACAAATAATATTTCTTATAATCGGACGTTTACCGTTAAATGCAATATTAAGTAGATACGAGAATACCGACATGCGTAATAAGCATAACGAGTTATCGAGGCCGCGGCGGTATTTCGAAACGACTTTTTCCTAGGTGACAAATGACCGTGTCGGCAACTCGACTTCGCTTCTCGACAAACAGCGCACTTATGTAGGACCGTAGAAATCAATTAACACGCTAACGGCGCTTTAGTGTATCAGTAATGTTTTCTCCCTATGCGCGTGGGTACTCGGAAGTCTTTAAGAACCTTTAAAGATCATCCGTTTGAACCATTTATTGTGAAACTCGAGAATATTTAAAAATACAATCGTATTTTTTATTGCAATATAAAACTTGCAATATCTTTTTCCATCCTTATTTTCCATTGTAAAAAGCTTATTTTTTGTTGTGGAATTTCTTATTCTTCGACAAATATATAAGTGATATATCCATTTTTAATTATATATTTCTTCGTTTTCTGAAAATCGTTGACACACAATCAGAATTTAAATGCAATATAATTAACAGTACTGGAAACATTTCGAGACTCTATCATTTTTATTCTTTACAGTGGAAAAAAAAATATCTAAGAAATGAAAAATATTTATTCGGCGAATACTAATAACATATTTACTTGTACCAATATAAAACATTTTCCAAATAAAAAACATTCACATTTAGTTTTACAAATAAGTAACATATAACATATTTTCTAAAAACTTTAACTTCTCTCATGAAGAAGCAATTGTTTATTCTATTTAAGTCAAAGAATTTAGATTTAAATAAATATGTCATCAGTATCTATACCGAAGAAAGTAGTTTTTATTCTTTAGATATTCTTTCTCTCTAGTATAATCTAAAAATATGGCTTTTTTAATCCAAAAATACAACTTTTTATGGCCGAGAAACGTGTTTGTATCTATAGTGCCCTTTTAATGGTACATGACCTCGAAGTTGGGCTTGACCTCGTGCCACGTGTGTACTCTCGAAGGATCGAAAGAAATGACAAGACGACGACCGACGACGACGACGACGACAACCACGACGAAGACGACGAAGAAGACTACGACACGGTGGATATTGTTTCGCTGAGGTTTCTCGCGGTGATAAATGACCTCATGTCCACATTTCTCAGTTCCTCGTAGCGCGGATGTATGAACGCGTACGAAGTCGAACGGTTCGCGAATGGCCGAAGAGTAATTGGCAGTTACGCGGCAGACGTAATCCAATTTGTCACTTAGCAAAGGAAACGGAGTAGTATCTCCGTGAGAGAAATAACGTAGACGTAATCGCGAAAGGAATACGCGACTTGAAAATATCGAGCTGCTGCCTATATCGTCAGCTCGTATTCGCGACTCAGCATCCGCCACGGATTTCGGCATTCACTCGCACGGTTTATTCTCATAGAGGAAGAAAATCCTTCATTTCGCGTTATTTCTAGCTCGAAAGTCATTGGTATTGAAGTAAAGAAAGATCGCGTCAAAGAAAGATCGAGTAAATTGCGAGAGATCCCGAGTGATCGACGCGCGGAGGATACCGTTTCGCGTCTTAGCGCGCGCTGATATTTTCATTGCTCCAAATGCATCCCGCTCGCTTTCTCTAAGCAACGCCCTTAATCCCGCCGTCAATAATCGCACGCTCGCGGCGTCAAGAGCATTATTTTGAAGGCAGGCGCGCCCACGCGCGACCAGGCGGGGATATAAATAAACGATCGCTTAATAGCGCTGGCGCGGTGCCCAGTAAACAATTTCGATGTCGGTACGATCGTGGAGCGCGGTTTCGCGATATTAGCGGTAAGTTTCGTTAGCCTGCAGCGCGGGGTTGGGGATGCATTACGTGAGCGCGCGCGCGCTCATAGAATGCGCCGATGCACGAAAGTTCGCCCGTGCCTTCGAGACCGGGTTCGTTCACCTGCGCGTACGCGAATCCCGACAGTTTGATTAAGGAAGAAAAGTTTTGGCTGAGAGTTGTGTAACGCGGCCAATCATACGGCCGGCTGCACCGCACCGGATCGCGCGCCGCACCTGGCCGCTATTATCGCGCGGTATCTTCGGATTCCTGGCCTTTCCAACCCTCTTTCCCATTGTCCCGACCCGCTCCTTAGAATATCGGGGGTCTTTTGCACATCCCACGGCACCAGAACGCTGTTTTATGATTTCGTATGTCAGCGGCGTGATACTTGTGTCGGCGCCGCGACCGCATTGTCGTAATGTTCCAGCTTGTGCTACGTACGCACGAAGTTACCGCAAATATCCCGCGATTGCTCTCTTCATTCTCACTCGGCGTACTTCGCCGAAGCGAGAATGGCTCAAGTTTTCAACGAGCGATCGTTTCTTCTCGTCTGGAAGGAAACTGCAGTCCGTCTGGTAATGATTATCTAATGAAAACCTGCGGCAAACTGAAATGGAGCGTTCTTCCTTTTTTCAAACGGATAACACAGATTGCGAACGAGTAAAGTAACGATCTTATTTTTATTTATAAGAGTACAGAGGTGCGTAAAGATTTTTCTTGTTTAAATTAGAAGAGGATGTAATAAAGCTATAAGTCATTAAGAGATAGTTAATAAAGATGCCATTGTATCAATTATGTACGTCGGAATATTGCTTTCGAGTGTTTATATTTGTATTTAGATAAAATCTATTCACGTGTCTAATGCTGAAACAGCCGTTGTAGGCGCCTTACGTAGGCGCGGCCCTGAAATATGTGTTCAGAGCGTGAAACCGGTTTCATACGGTGTGACTAATTTCGCAATAACATGGTTACTTGAAAATCTTACGTTGCAGAAACGACCGTCGTAAAATAAATAAAAAAAGATTGATTTGAGTGCGAAACAAAAGTGTAAAACATAAAAATGTGAATAAATAATCTCGTCGGCAGGAGAGATATTTATGTTATTCACGTCGAAAAATTGAGATGTGCGTTTAGTGAGTATAAAGACATTGTTACAAAATACACGTGTCTTACCGTATTAATTAATCACAGTGGAGTAGTTACGAGGAGCAATACGACACTAATAGTAATTTCCGAAGAAATATGGAACGGCTGGCACGAAGCGGCAAGAGAACAGTTTGGTCCGCAAAGGATTAACGAATTTGCGTAAGACAAGTGGGACTAGAGTTACGAGTGAACCATTACGAGGGTTTCTAAGACGCTAGAAGTGGGGGATGTAAAGTTTGGGAAGCCTCGATGAGGCCGTGGAGGAAAACGGCGCGAGCGCACTTGGTACCCCCGTGCGGTCACGCTCCTGAGCGTGCGTGGCCGCGGTGCGCGACGGTTCTTTGACTCGGCGCCGAGAGTCAGTCAACCCGGTGACGGCTTGCTGGCGGTTGTTCTCTTCCAAGCGAGGTCCTCGGCGTCCACGAGCTCGAGTGAAGACGGCGAAGGCGCGTTCGCGTGTGTGCGTGCGCCAGATAACAACGTGCGTCGACTGTTGAAGCTGACGAGCGACATATTTATCGGTGATCTCCGAGTCCGGACTCGTTTGTCGCGCGCGAAAGAACGCGTCGGAGCAGACGGAGGAACGAACGGCAGGACGAACAGACGCTCGCCGCGAAAATGCGAAAAGCCCGCGATGCGCGCGATCGACAGGTGACACGTTCCCGCTGAAAGAGTCCGTCCCGCTCGCCGTTCACCAAGTGTGCACTTCGTTGCAAGACACGATGGGTCGCCAACGAACGCGCCCCTGAACGCGCGAGGTATCGAGAGATCGTCCCCGTGAGCAACGATCGTTTGACGCGATCGATACGTCGGATCGGCGCGCGTGATCCGTCGTGTGTGACGTCCCGAGGGAATCTCCGAGGCTCTCCGAGTAGGATGAGACCAGGAAGCGCGCGTGATCCCCGAGTGAAGATCGATCTAGGCCGATAATCGAGTTGCCTTCCTCGCACCGAAGGCTACGAAGGTGCAACGGCGGAAGCGTCTCTCCTACGGATTACACGGAACCTTCGAGTACGCTTACTCACGGTGAATCGGAGCAGTAGTCATCCGCAAGTACCGCTCTCGACGCGTTTGCCGTCTCCACCAGCGAAGCGATTCTGGAGCAATCCGACGGTGAAAGGAGTTCGAACGGAGACTTGACGGACGGCACTGCCGCGTCGCCTGTCGTCGAGAGGCACGTATCCACGGGCGATCCTGAAGAAACTCTTCCATTCGCTGGTGACCCGAGCTGCCGGAGCTCGGCAAGACCTACAGACAACTCTTCGAGTAGCAAACTACAACCGGTATATTCGTGATGGAGGACGAACTACGTTGCCCCTGCTGCAAGGAGCTGTTCGTAGAGCCGGTGTTGCTGCCGTGCTGGCACGCGTTGTGCCTGTCGTGCGCGGTGAACCTGCAGGCGCCGCCGGACTCACCGCCGGAGTCGACCGCCGACTCGTCCAACGCGCCCGGCTCCGACCAGGAAGCCGACAAACTGTCGATCTTGTCGGAGACCGACTCTGGCGTGGTGTGCAGCAGCACGTCCACCAGCTCAAGGCCGGGCAGCTACGTCGGCACCCCGGGCAACGGCGGTTTCCCGCCGTCTGGCGGCACCCTCTGTCTCTCGTGCCCCGTCTGCCAGAAGACGGTCTACTTCGACGAGGGCGGTGCCCACAATCTGCCCAAGTACCGGGCGATGCAACACATCGTCGACAAGTATCAGGAGTCGCGCAACACGCGGATGCAATGCCAGATGTGCGAGGGAGAACCGCGCGACGCGACCGTCGCGTGCGAGCAGTGCGAGGTTAGCGCGCAATGTCTGATTATATAGACCGGGGGTGTAATCGGATTGGTTGATGATAGCAGTACAAGTGAATTGGGTGGATAAAAGCACAAAGTAGCGCTTTGTCATACTACAAATGTGATTCTTCCCGGTGATGTTGGAACGCGAGGATTCGCGCGAGATTGGGAGCTCGATCGGGGTGCGGGATTGAATATTTCGCGGAATGCTAAAATAAAAGGGGTAAAGGAGATGTAACGTGTGGCACTGAGAATCTTGATCGAATAGTCAGTCGAGTTAGGACGGGAGGAATAATCGGGGGCACGATAATGGTGGTTTAATGTCGTCGCGAATTCTATCAATACGTTGAAGTAACGCGTGAAAATTGGACAATAACCAAGTATATACAAAAAGACCTCGGTATCTCAACGAGATACAATGAACGTAACTTTCGCACAATAAATGTGTTACTTGGTAAATTTGTGAAGGATGATGTAGTGCGATAATCCGGCTTTTCGTCAACCCCCTTTTTGTTCACTTCCATGCCGTCACGAACTTCGCGTCTTCGCATAAGTTTTTTATTTACGATTCTACATACACATAGAAGTGTATATTTCCTCGTATCCAACAAAAGGCGTGTGACATTGGTGTAAGTTTTTCATTATTTCCATCTTCCCGGCCTGCTAGAAGGTCTTGTCAGCCGAGAAAATAAAGGAAAAGAATTCCATCAACTGAAAGCCTGCTTTATTCGGAGATATGTCCACAAAGAAATACCAGATCGTGATGTTAAAATGTTGCGAGTTGTACTTCAATTTCAGAAATTTAAACGAAGATAAAAAATTCAGTGGTCGATAAAGTGTCACGCTGTGTCGTATACGATTATCGTCTTTATGTCGTATGGAGAATTATTTCTTTCGCGCGTTAATTTAAACGAAGACACGAACAAAAATAGCACTTTCACAGGTCTTCGGCTACTTCCGCTGGGGGACGATGCCTAATCCGTCTGTGTTGCTTTTTGTTATTTTTCAATATTTCTGTCCCGGTGCCTCGGCTCGTTCGCAGAACGAGAACTTCCGTGCCGTAAGATCGGAATCGGGAAAAAGTTCCCAAGGCTACCATTCTTAACGACCGCGGTATCAGCGTGTTTATTTCTCTTGTGTGCTTTCCTCATCCAGAGGCTCGTTAACTCTCCCTCGTTCACCCCCTCGAAGTCCACTTCATAACTTTCCTCTTCGCGGTATAAGCGCACTAGAGCCTCTCGTCTACGAGAGAGCTGCGTCTACATCGGTATCGACGTTAATATCGAGCGTCATGGTCGTTATCGTCCAGAGAAAGATGTATATTTAGCCGATCGAAATCGCATGCAAAGGAAAGTTCACACAACTATAACAAAGCAGACGTCCTCTATCTGACTCGTGTCGAATATTGACGTTCAAGAACATCTCGCGATTGTTTATAAAGCTAGTTATTTTTATCCTGCCTTTTGGCCTTCTCTCGGACAGGATATGATCAAGAGCATCGTTCTTTCGTTGAATATCCAGACCTGCCACGATTTGTTGAACGAAGACACATTAAGCAGTGCTGTCACACATCCGCACACACTTTTTACAATTTATTGTCACAATTATTTTTCGCTTCCCTTCCGCAAACGCGCGTCTTAAAGGTGTTATGTCGAGTAAGAGGAAGAAATGAACTTTCCCTCACATTTTATATTCATACATTTTCTCTGTATACTCTTACATTATACTAGTATCTTGAGTTAAATTTTGTAGTCTAGTAAAGTTTTAGTTTCAAGAAGTTTTCCTGTCGGATCGTTATTTCAGGATTTGTACAACATGTGTGCATGATACATTCACGCAAATCGCTGTTACATTGCATTCACACCGAAAGAGAAAGAGCGGTTTTATATTGTGCTCTGTTTGGTAAGATCGAGTTACTGCGTTTCGGAGTGGCGCGTCGCATGAAATATCTCGTTGCGCGACACGTACGCCAATCGCACCACCACCCTCTTGCTCGCTTTCCTCGAAGTGTTAAATTTCATTTTCGGTTCTCTCGTACGGCCCCTCCGGTGTACCGCGTCGCGACAAGTGGCGGATATTTTTTCTGTGATTTTGCACTCGTGCCGGTCGCTCGCTCTCCGTATCGTGAGGGAGCGGTGAAAAAAAAAAAGAGAGAAACGATGGTGCCTATAGTTTCATTCGTCGCAGCAACATTTTTGCGTGGCAACAATGCCTCGACTATCGATAACCGACGTGATATTATTTCCGAATAGGAAATACCGAGCGCGCGAGAGGAATACCGACGACGTTGAACAATACCACGCCCAAATTGTTAGCAGGCGGGAGATATTCCTGTTTGCTTAATAATTATCGACGAGTTCAATTTGCGTCTACCTTTGTGTGAGTTTAATAAAGTCGAGCTCGCGATGTCGCGATCCGGGCGTAAGAAAATTTCATCAGGTCATCCATATTCATCCTCCCATCCTCAATATTTAGCGAAAAAACGCGGCAAAAAGGGAAAAAATGTTCCCGTCGCCGTTGAATGATTTCATCGATATTTTTTATAGTGACATTTTTTCTCCAGGCACTCGATATCGTGAATATCGATGCGCTGGATATGAATACCGTTCTCTCCAGAATTTTAATATTTTCTCTTACAGAGATCCGCGAGTATAGTCGGCGCGATATACGTCACTCTGAGGAAGATCGATTGTTTTTCTTTCAGGTTTTATACTGCGACGCATGCAGGGAGTCCTGTCATCCGAAGAGAGGTCCATTGGCGGCCCACAATCTGGGCCCGCCGAGAGGCAGCTGGCAATCGAGCGGGAGCAAGGGATCCCGTGGTTTGGGCCCTGAAGGCACGCCGGTATGCAACGACCACAATGGCGAAGCGGTGACTCTTTATTGCGCTTTGTGCAAAATCGCGATATGCGCCCTGTGTCTTCGTGATCGTCACGCCGCGCATCCACACGACGTTCTGCCGTTGGCCGCCGCCTGCAAAGCTCAAAAAGTGAGTACGCTTCTTGATTGCCACTCGACCATCGCGCGCTAGACAAGTCGAAACGAATAAATCAATTGATCCGCGGCGATGATTATCGGCGCCAAGACAAGCTGCTTTCGCGATGAGAAAACTAGAAATGCACAGAAAAACGGAAGAGATACGAGACATTATGGAGGGCAATAACGCGGCAGATCGAATCATTCGTTTCTGCTTCACACGCGATGGAGGAGAGCTTGTAACTCTTATTTCTCGTGCGACGCGTACTCTTTGGCATTACCGTTGCATCTGCAATCAGCACGCTCCGCAATGCGCGATAATATCGGAGACCAGATCGAAACCTCAAACGGTTAACGCGGACATCGTGTTGGACGGTTGCTGGCACCAGGGGATTACTATAGATTTACCGAAGAATGATGTTTGCCGGCGGGATACGTGGCGCGATAATATATGTATATTTGATGACGAACTCCCCGGCGTAATTTATGTGCCTAGCCCGCACGGGTAAAATCCGAAAATAATGGATGATGCGCCAGCGCGTTAACACGACCAATAATTGAGTTTCAATCTACCCGCTCGCGCGCACACTATACGCGCACTTGGGCGCTCCGGAGCATAGTTTTGCTGCGAGCTGCCGTTTATCCTCCTATCGTATTTTGCATGCCGCATGATTCCGCGCTTCTATGCGCGCGAGTCATTAGCGGGATCAACCGTGAAAAATACATTGCCGTTATGCTAATCAATCACATCGTGTGTATTTGCGCACCTGCTGTCCCGCGGAAAATGGGATATAATTAGACAGCGTGCAAAATATGTTACGCGATAGGACACATAATTGCGCATCTCCATCGGAAATATGTTACCCGCGATCGGATATACAATTACATGTCATTAAAATTGCTAATACCTTTGAAATTTCAGCGCAGATCTAAATGCGCTAAACGCTATTCGTTTACTGAATAGCTGCACACGCGCCGTTATTGTCATTATCTTCGCGAGAATGCATCCACTTTATACTACATGTTTCATAATAGATACGCAACGGAATAGCGCGTGTGTGTGTATATATATATATATATATATATATATATATATATATATATATGTATATATATATATATATATATAAAATAATATAGACCTATTATCGGACCTTTTTCATACCTCAAAGCGGTACCAAACGTTATTACATTTCCGTTCTCATCTCGGGGACGTAACATCCGCGCGGAAATTGTACGGACGACGAAATTGCGGTAGCGAATAAGGCCGGGCGATTTTGCAACGAGCGTGACCGGCGCCGCAGCCGCCGCTGTCGCCTTCGTGCGCTCGTCTGCATTTTCCCCGGGGCTGCTGCAACGGACGGAACAGTGCAACCGGTGCAACCGGTGCAACAACAATATTCGGGGATCGTCCGATCGACAGCTGGTTTCGATATCGCGTGTCCCGCGTGGGTGTGCCCTCCTCGTCTCATGCGCGACACACATTGCTACCTCCCGCCGCGTGCGTGCGCGCGTTTTCGTCCGGCCGACGTCGACACCTGGTCACCTTCCTGACATATGGAGGCCGCGCTTGGTCCCATCACCCGCCGGGAATCACTTCCTCTGCGATTAATCTGATAAATTGCCCGCGGCCCAGTCAAAACCGCCTGACTCCAGCAATTTCGTAATTGATTGCCGCCGGACGAGCGACCACCCGCCGGCGGGCGCGCATGCTTTTGTTTGCACTCGCCGGCCATTATATCTCGAGATAGTCACCCCAGTGATAAGATCGATAGAGTTCGCGCCGTTCCAGCCGTCCGTTCGTCCGTCCGTCCATCCACTCGCACGTTTCGCCGAGAAAACCCCGATGCACGGTGCGCTAATCGTCGACATCTGACGCTGGTACGCTAATCGACTCCGGCGGCTCGATCGTAGATTCGCCTCGGTGAAAACGGGAAATCGCTTGGGAATTTGCATTCGTCCTGCGTCCATTGCTTGTCAGATATAAACATCATATATCTCGAAAGGCAATTCTACTATTACTTCGAGTTGAACGTGTGTCATTTGGGAGCCAAATGTAGGGTTAAAGATCCAATTATTTATGACACTCTGGAAAAGAAAACTTGGTTTTTCATATGATTAGCATTGCAGTTAAATTTCTTGCCTACGCTCAGACTCATATTAATAGTTATTGTTTCATACACATCTCGAGTGAGATATTCAGATTTGAATCTAGGGTTAGATGAGTGTTTCTCTATTGAATTACGCGCGATCACAGATATGAATGTCATATTATAATTCAACTGAAAAACTTGTATCTAATTTTGAAAAAAATCTCATATGAGACGACATTATCTCACATGAGACAAGTTTCAGGCAATGATTATTAATGCACGTCTCAATGACTCTATAAAAGACGATTTTACAAAATTATGAACAACCGCCACTGGTTGCAAGAAAAACCAAACTCTTTTAGAATGTTAATGATCAAAGGGGGTCAATGATTGCGTGTCAATAACTGAGTTTTACTCTAGTACTTGTATGAATTTCGCGTTTCTCAGCCTTCGACAGAAAAATATTGTCCCAGTGGGAAAATGCCTTCGAGTAAATTCCCTGGAAGATTGCTCTCGTCGTTAATGCCGAGATTATTTTCACCGGTCGGCCGAAGGGCACGATTTAGTCCCGAAAATGGTGTCTTCTGAATAATGCATCTCAGCGTGAGCGTTTATCGAGGCTGGGGACGCGTTGAAAGTGCAGTCGCGATAAAGTAATTTGCAACAGGCTCGTTTATCAGCGACGGGACTACGAAGATACCGACTTGCCGATCACAACTTGGGTGCGGGTTGCAATCATGTCAGCCACGTTGCGAACGTTACGTCGCGTTTTGACGCGTAATCATCCGTCACTTTGTCTTCTCTCTGTCCCCCTCCCATGTCGCTCGTCCTTTTCCCGTATGCTTTACACACACGTATCGGAGTTGCGCACGATGCCTGGCCATTATTACACATTAATGTTGACGTACGAGGCAATACTCGCATGTTGCACCCGATATTTCGGTAATTAGTCTGCCCGGTCGTTGGCTAATCAAGGGAATGCCCGCGTGCGTGTGCGGATCGGTATTCGTGTTTGCAATCACGATACTGCAATCACGATACTTCGAAGTGCGAGCGCAAGTAGCACTTAACGTACTCGAGATGCAAATAATAGTGCCTCTAATCACGTGCAATTCAAATTTTTCCACACGTAGAAGAGCGTGGCGTTAAGAGAGTTATTTTCTAGCGCGTCCGCGATTGTATGCCGTTCTCAACTTATTTCTGGCTTCTAGATAAGATCGAGATTTTTTAAGCTGCTATTACTTTATGATTTTGCAATAATACACTTTCATTTGAAGAACGTTACGTCGTAATAACATGTTTCCTCGGGACACGAGTCGTGCGCACGATAGAAAAGTGTTTATCGGCGAGATAGCGATCGTTCTCGTTTCGGTGCTAGAAAAGTGCCGCCGTGCTTATCGTCGCTATCGCGGTCGATAGAATCACGACGAATAGCTCGCGCGCTGGCGCTTAATCGACTCGCTAATAACTACGGCGATGGTCTCGATTGGTTTTAAACGGAAGACAACGCGGCTGAGTGATGGCGTGGGTCGCGAAGGACTGCAATAATAATAATCGATCGCCGGACTCGATTGCAGCCGCGTTCCCGCCCGTCCTTAATTGATTATAAATCCTCTCAATCGATGTGAGGCCGCGTTTTAATAGACATTCGACGCGTGACGATGGAACAACGGCGCTCTCTCTATTCCCGTTAATTTTCTAGATATTCAAGACCTGATAACGAGAGAGAGAGAGAGAGAGAGAGAGAGAGAGAGAGAGAGAGAGAGAGAGAGAGAGAGAG